CATGCCCTCCCCCCTGCTCACCCTACGGCCGTTCCACCAGAAGCCCCTCCACCTCTGGAACAAGTACGACGTTGGCGACTGGCTGGCCAGCATTAATCTGTCTGAACACCGGGAGCGATTCCAAGAGCATGAGATTGAGGGCTCCCATCTGCCTGCTCTGACCAAGGAGGACTTCGCTGAGCTGGGTGTGACGCGCGTCGGTCACCGCATGAACATTGAGCGCGCCCTTAAACAGCTGCTGGAGAGTTGACCACGCGCCTCCCTCTACCTGTAGCTAGTCTCAACACAATTTTCTTTTATTTTCTTCTTTAATTTGCTTGTCTTGTAATTTTTCTTTCAATTCTTGAGCTTTACATCCAAAGTGTGTAATTTCTATGTTAAAATACTTATCCTATCCCACACTTTCGTAAAAAACGAATCACTGGGGTGGTATTAAAAGATATTAATATGTACCATTTAGGTTCTAATATGTACACTTTTGGTACTAATTTGTAAGGCAGGGGTGTCTAATTTTGCTCCTGAAGGGCCACTTTCCTGGAGTTTAGCTTCCACCAGTTTCAACAGACTTGCCTGGAAGTTTCTAGTGATTCTGTAGACCGTGATTAGCTGTTTCAGATGTGTTTAACTGGAACTAGAGCTAAACTCTGCTGACAAGTGGCTCTCCAGGAGCAGGATTGGACACCCCTGCTTTAAAATACTATTATGCACCCTTTAGGGTAAATCAGTGGGGTTGCAAAAAGGCAGTACATTTTGGAATCATTCCAGGAATTTTGGTAACTTTCTAGGAATTTTTGGAACTTTTAAAGAAATGTTATGCCCTTTTGCAATCCTATAAATATGGTACAAACTGGTTTACCTTTTGAAAGGCTACTGCCCCAGTGACAGCTTTTGTACCTTTTTTACAGGAGTGCAGTTTAATATTCCCCTGAAAACATTGCTCTGTTCATTTGACCATCCCAACCAATCTGACACACCAACATTGGCAATGTTTGTCCAACTAATGGCAGATTGGGAAACAATTTAAACACAACCATTTTCACAATTGCCGCAGAAATTACACACTTCAGTTTTAAATAATCTCACTATTTCCTAAATCCATCATTAGTGTAGTGGGTGTTGACTCCATGCTGTTTTTGTAGCACTATCCTAAGCCCCTCCCACAATACTGCCAGCAGCCAATCACAGGGGTGCTGTGTTTGGGAGGGGCTGTGAATTTAGTGATCGAATTGGCTTTGTTCACACTGCATACAAAAAAATCAGATTTTTTTTTCCAAATCTGATCTTTAGGACTGATCAGATCTGCCTATACCTGGTTTATCCACAATTGTGTCATGGTGCTGAACTCATGATGCATTAAAGTATGCATTTAATGCATTTATGCAAATACTGAAACCGCTCATTGATTCATCTCATTTACTATTAATTGAATAGTTTGCTATATGGGGAAAAAGTGAGAGAAAATTAGTGTATTTGCAAAGTAAATCTCATCCGTAATTAGTAAAAACTACTTGAAATCCAATTTGACAGTTCACACTGCATTTTAATCTGATTTCAAACCACCTATAGTACAAATGTGGTTTTAAACTGGGTTTTGTTTTTTTTTGCTGTCCAAACTACAAAAATACAACAAAAACAGTTTTTTTGCTGTCTGTCTGAACAAAGCCTATTCAAAATATCCCGTAATTGATTCTTCAGTTTCATTAGCATAAACACCCACTAATCCCTTAGTCCCAAATCCAGTTTTTCTACTTTACTATCCGCTGTCATTCATTCAGAAAAACGTATATAGATATATGAATATAACATTTTTGTCATAAATATAAAACTTATATATGATATTATATATATATATATATATATATACAAAGACAAAAAAACACTCTTGAATAAGATTTTTGGTTATCCTTTTATGATGGACTGTAGCATGAAACGTTACATCACCATACGAAATGACGGTTGACTGGTTTGTTCGATTTGCATTGTACCACCCCCTTTTTTGCTTTTGTTTGTTAAAGTTTTACGGAACCTGGTCTTCCATCTTTAATTGAACATCCCACGGTGGGCTGTAACAGTGTGTTCATGTTTGAGCCCTTCACACACACCACTTTTGTCTGTTTTTTTACATATAAAACAAAAAAGTGTTCCCAATACAGTTACACACTTTCATGCACACAGCCACACCAGTTTCTTATCCAAATTTGATCTAAACAAGTCTTCTTGATCTGGTAATAAGAAATCCTGAATAAGAAACTCTGCAATAAGTGTGCATGTAAACAAGTGTGTGAACAAATGTGTGTGAGTTGTGCATGACAGAACCACTGTGGGACGAGAAACATCTGGAATATTGCAGCTCATCTGGATGGTAACGACTGGTGTTCAACATCTCATTAAGAAACCAGAAGACAGAATCTATAATTGTAAAAGTTTCCACCTTATGGCTTATATGTTAACCTGCTGTAAGCACTGCAGCATTTGACTTATTTGTTTTGGCCTTTTTTATTTCTTTATTTGATTTTTTTGTCTCCTCATAGGTGGATTTTGTAGCTTGTGAAATATGATGCTTAGAAGAATTTTTATGAATTCATTTAGAATTAATTTTAGAATGACAATTAGTTCAAAGAAAAAGCTGAGGACAAAAGATTAAATGAAAAAAAAACAATCAATGAAAAAGAAGCCCAGAGATCCTGCAGCTGTGTATATATGGACAAATGACTAAAATATTTGCTTTTTATATCAATCACAAGCAATGTATATATGATAGTTTTCATATAAATTTTTAAAAATCAAAAAATATATAGATCTATATATGAATGTTTGGCATATATGCATAGTTAACCACCTGTCAAAAAAGGTGAAGATTTTACTCTTTGTATGGAGTTCGGGGGTGATTTGCACAAAACAAGGTGCTAGCATTTCAAGCCATTCATTCCCACCTGTCCCATTCAACCCTCTATTAGGGCTCAACAGATGCATATATGACCTGTTTGCATATTTAAACGAAACCTGGGACATGCAAACACAGACACACATATGCTCATTTCTCTTCTGTGCACCATCAAACCTATTCAGTCCTGTTTTTAATACCCAACGTGTGTGTGTGTGTGTGTGTGTGTGTGTGTTTGTGTGTGTGTGTGTGTGTCAGACTGTGACAGCAGAAGGAGTTAATGCTTCACC